TCAACCTCGACCTCATGTAGATCAAAAGCCGCAGAGGTCGGAGAAGGGCGCGAGTTCACGGGTAACGGCTAAACACTCCTCTTTTCTATTGATTTTAGGGTCTCTTACCGAAATCCAAAACGCCTCTAGGGTTTTTCGCGCCGCGATTTCAGGCTCATGCGCTAGAATGGAGACTGTTATCCCGAATTCAGCATTCCCATGGTATTGCATGCGGTGAACCCCGAGCGGCGTCTGAATTTGTGATCTTCGCAACCCGTCCAAGTGCTCCTTGACCCGTACTCGCAGAGGACGGCCTGTTTCCCCTATGTACTCGCTATCGCAGGCTAAGCAACGTATTGAATAGATCACCCCTGCCCTCATGCAATCACCTGGGTTGCCACCTGGGCAAACCACGCAGCCAGGGGTTTCGCATAGGTAGTCGTAAAGCCTGTTGCGGACCAGAAGACGTTTCAAGTTATTGGGAGGTATCTCTACAAGCCTGACATCCTCCTGCAAACCACACTGTGTTGAAAAGTGTTATATCAGAAGTACATTATTGCAAAAGAAAACTCGCAGCAGCATCGTCTGCTATCTATTGGCTTCTCTTACATTAAAATTCTTGAATAGCTCTTGAACAGAGTTTGACAAGACGTCTCGATTCACCTAATCGATGGTTCACAGCTTCAAACGACGAATAACGGTTACTGAATGTTGTCGAAGATGGTGCCGTCTCTGTATAAAAGGAACTTCAAGCTCGAGCACTGGAGCTAGTCATTCAACATTAGTAACATCACCGGCGCACAACTGCGTGGTCATTTGGAGAAGTGGCGAAAATGGAGGTCGTAGGGGGGAGAGGGGGGGGGTGAAGGAGAGACGCATTGTGCTCTCTAATACGAAGTTAGGGATAAGAGCGTACACAACACGTAATCGGGAGACGGTCAATTCAATCGTCGGCTAATGAGGTCACGCCGCTCACGCGGCGGCAGCGTCGCGCGCGGCAAATGGTGCGGCGATTTTGTATGGGCCTTGGCTTAACGGTCCTTGTCCATAAGTTGCTGGTGGGGTTAGAGAACTGATAAGACCAAAGTTCCAGACATCAGTGAGCCAACAAGAGTCACCTTAAGATCTCCGCAGTTATTTAAGCCTCACTGTACAGAGCTTGTGCTATGCGATGGGAGTGCGTGACGATTCAATCGTGGCGATGGCTAGGTCGCCGCAGTCCGCGATGCGACGTCGGACTTAGTCAAAACTACACCTTGAGTCGCTTACGTTAATCTTATTTTTAAAATGAGGATTCTAATATGATATTCAGTGTCAATAAAGTGGTAAAATCTTAGGATTTCACAGTCACTCACAGTCTTCTGATACCTTATGTGGATTAGAGAGCTATTGTGCTAAATTCGCGGTGTGATTGTAGAATTTCTCATCTTTTAACGTCCTTACTCAAAAATCGTACATCTCAATTATGACACATGATTTTGGGATTCAATTCCACACTTGATTTTGTATATGAAATGAGTTGCAAGTTCTGCTTGTTGGATGCGCTAGATTAAAATGTTTACAAGATTTTTGACCGCTACTGCACATATTAAAAAAGCATTTCCTCCAGCCATTGTCGCATTTAGCAAGAAGAGAACTTGGCCCAGCTAATTCTAGCAAGGATTGTGATCTCTTGATGATGTCAAAGAGATATTCAAGAGCATCAGTTTTTCCACTAGAATTTCTAAACACTCACGCTTCCGTGGGTTTGACTTACGATCAGACGACTGCCAGAGCTCTCCAAGCAATAATGGACTTGCTTTGGACTCGCTCTCCATCAACAAGTACGCCGGTGTGCAAAACTTGGGGACGAGGTGGATTAAATAATATGACTATTTAACAACCTAATCTAATCGGATGAAGCTGTGAGGGCATTATGCAACGGAACTACAGTCATGCACTACAAACTGAGGCCCATATTCCATGCGGCTGGCTTCACTCTGGAGTTCAACGGCAAATGCTTTATGCTTTTTTATCCTGTAATCAGTCGCTATACGTGGCGAGTGATTAGATAGCAGAGAGAGCGTAGTGTTGAAGAGGGCACAGCGATGAGAGTCGCATCAATGCGCAAATCAACGGGCAAGGAAGGGGTCCCATTTCTCGGGTTTCGGGCCGTTTCAAATGGTTTCTTCTTCATCCCTGCTCCACTGACCACCTCTACCCTTACCAATGAGCTAACTTTTCATCGTAAATTCCGCCTTTAAGAAATTTTACTGATATTCATTAGATCGCGGTCATTTTGAGTCTCAAAAAAAGTCTCAAAAAATTTAGTCAAAAATATTCGGGACTTCACCTCGCGACTTCATCGTTGAATAGCTTCATGACAGAGACGTTCATCCTCTGCATGGTGGACTTGTCCCTTGTTCCGTAGAGGACGACGAGACGCGGCGTCCTGGCTCAAGTTGAACTGATGACTGTATTGTCTTGAAGAGAGTCTTCAGATGTTTTCATAGCATTTGCTCCAAAGTAAAACTCATCTTCCATGAATCTAATGTTTCCTAATAAAATAAAAGTAAATATTATGCGATTCATTGAGAATCCCATTTCACTTCATGATGGTAAGAATTTAAATTTCTTGGTTTCAGGACCTTATCGGTACAGGAAATTTTTGCAAGGTTTTCAAAGGCACATATGAGCGAGAGAAGAACGATCAGATTCTTGTTGCAATTAAAGTAAGAACACTCACAAGGACCTTCATGAAAAATAATCAAACGAGTGTTGCGATAGTGATAAACGTTGCTAACCAAACCTCACATCCTTCAAGACTGCGCGGAACTTGCGCGGATAAGCTGCTTCCAGCATGCTTTTAACACATTGCAGCCCGCGTGCATCGCCGGGTATGCACGTTGAAACTCCCACATCTGATATTTGTGCATCGCCCGGTGTGCACATTGATTTTGAGCTCCCTTGATATTTTTTCATTACTTCTGTGACCATAGAAGTTCCACTAGTGCCTTGAATCCACTAAACACATGGCTGCTCTCCATCTTCAATTTCAAAATACTTTTGGAAGTGCAATTTGCACAACCAGTACCTTAGTTCGAACCTTCATAAACTGTTTGACAATAAGCTCCAATGGCTACTGGTTTACAAATATTATTGTAAGGATGAGAAGCCGAGCAAAAAATAGTAAGAAGTGAAAGAAAAAAAAACGAGAAAAAGTAGAACAAAGAAAGTACAAAAGCAACACGTTGCCAGACTCAATGGGGAGGGCTGTAGTTGAGGTTGTGTGGGTCCTGTGGCGAAAACATGGGTCTTGTAGCGAGATGTATGGGTCCTGTAGAGAAATTACACAAAATGTCCCTAATAGAGATTTGGGCAATCGCCAGTATGTCAACGGTAATGCAAGCACATCTGATGGACCATGCACCGAAATCAGTGGGGCGTCCAATGTGTTAATTATACTTAAAAGCGCAGTTGTTGAAACGAGCTCATCATAACGAATTCTACTCAAGCTGCCGCAACGGCCAAGGCCATCCATGGACAAGCTCAAACTTTGGATTTGTATATATGGGTTGTCCCATAATTCTGGCCGAACTTCAACACTTTGATTTCTTCAGGTTTTATCTTTGCTAAAAACAATTAATCAAAAATGTAACCATCGTTATAACCACTGATATGCATCCACTTGCTAGGGAGACGAATGTATGCATTCTTTCCAGAACCAGGGAAGCTGTGATGAAAATCTCGGAGAGGTCGTTTTTGGGGTAGTTGTCATTTACCGACTTTTCTTTCCTAGTTCCTGCTTCAAGGAGCTGGGGAGGTGATAGTGCGATGGAGCAAGGTCAGGGCTATACGACAGATGTAGGACCGTGGTCCAGCCGTTTTCCCCACGAAACGTGGAAAAATGTCTTTGCATTGTGATGTCGAGCGGTCCTCCAGAGAAAGGAGATTTTGTGACGTTTTGAACCGTTTACCGCACTGCCGTGGTCAACTCGTACTGTTCCATGGTCACCTCGCACTGCTTGTCTGCATATAAGAGAAATGTGTTCGCGAACGGGACGCCCAGCCAGTCTACGAGGGGGGGGGTAACATCCTCTGATGAAGAGCTCATGGTTTTTGTAAAGAGTGGGCCAGAGGTAGCCACCAGGCGTGCTGCGTGTTGTTATCGTGGTGGACTCGTGACTCATCTGCACTGGTGACCAACTAGGGAATGTCTTGTCTATACGGTCGCAGAATGAAACTTCTGCAGATGGTCAGGCGTGCTTCTCGGTCATGGTCAGTCGATGCATGCTGTTTCCATCGAGGCTTCATTCTGCTACAGCCCCTTCCATTCAGGTGTCGACTCATGGAGCGTAGGCTGCGTCCAGATGTTTGCTACAGTTTCCTGCTAATAGCGTCCGGATGCACTTCCTATTCGTAGCGCAAGGGTCCTCATCGAAAGTGACTGGAGGTCCATGATGAGGTCGAACTTTGCAGCTCCTATCGTCTTTGCCGATGCTATTGAGCCAATAGCTCAGTGCCCGATCAGTAGCAAAGACTGGGGCAAACGTAGCGCTGATCTTGCCTACCGCGCTCCTTGCAAGGTTCTTCTTAAAATTGTCGTAAGGCATAATGTTGGGTTTGGTTGTTGATCTATTTTGATTCCTACTAATATCCTGTTGCGCATTTGAGCTTCTGAAACATCTTGGCACATCGGTCCTATTGAACTACATTGAAGTGAGTCATTCGCCCCAAGACTAGACCTTTTCATGGATGGGGTTTCCCCTTCCACTTCTGACTCAGCACCCAGGAGGTAAAGATTGCATTGCAATCTGCGAAGACTAGCATTCACAAACAAGAACATATCCTCTGATACGAGTCCAAATACAGTAATAGTAACTTTGCAGATTTGCCACGGTGCTTCGACGGTAACGGTGACAGAAGAGGCAAAACGTGCCAGAGAATCAATGGTGCACGAAGCCCAGCTTATGAGTTACTACGTTCACAAACATGTCATACAGGTGTGCACTGCACTTTGATAGCACGGTTCTATAGACTGTAACAATGACTTGCAGCTCTACGGAGTGGCTTGTGATCACTACCCGGTGATGATAGTTATGGAATACTGTCCCGGAGGCAATCTACAGAATCACATGCAAAAATTTAAAGAAAAAGTGGCAGTGCCGGAACGAATACTGTTAGCACACGAAGTAAGCTTATTTGACAGGCATAGGAATGTGGAAGGGAGAACCTTAGCGAAAAGCCAATAAAAGCAAGTTCTACGTTACCAGAATTCAGATAGGGCTCGAAAAAAGCTATCAATGTTAATGGATCGAACGAATAAGAAAGCAAACTACTCTTTTTTGCAGCCCGTTCTGAGCTGCAGAACGGTCCAGAAGACAACAGGAATGTTTCCCAGCTTATTTCGTGCGAGCATTACATTGATACGCGGCGTCGAAAAAGTAACTGGCAAGCGTAAAGAATGCTCTTTAAAGGCCAAGAATCAGGATTAAGTTGATGGGATGATCCCACTCAAATGTGTGGTGAGGTGGACCGCCAGTGAGAGAAAAAACGGAGAAAATCCTGAAATACACAGGAAAATACGAGCATTTTGCTCCATGCTGTGGAGAAGTTCAAAAGACAGGCAGGGAGATGAGAGATATGTGAGCGCGGAGAGTGGTAGAGAAGTCCGAGAAGAGAGAGCATAGCAGATCAACGTGGCGACGCAGACAAGATATCGAACGGTGGGCGGACCATGTTAAGTTTGGTGGAGTCTGTTAGAAGTCCATGGCGGCCTAGGGTCCTAGTGACGCGTTTCGATGTAGAAAAGGTGGCGCTACCTTTGCACTTGCGTACCCAGCACTTCTAGCCATGGTGAGGGCTTCCTAGGTGGGTCTGAGCCCGAATTTTTGCCTTTAAGGGAGAGACTAGAGAACAAGCGGCGCTTGGTAAGGTGCGGAAGAGGAGTTAGTACCAGCTCCCGGAGTTTAGGAACATCTACCAGCACATCTTTTTAGGCGACGGCGATATAAGGCTATGTTAGAAAGATACGGCCATAACAGTCATTCGCTTTAGATTTCAAAAGTGTATTTCTTTCCAAGCAGCCATCTTTTAATCTTACCGTGTCGCTTCTTACGCCATTTCCAAACAATCACGATCGATCGTGATTGTTTGGACTGGAGGACCGTAAGGCTTCATTTCAACATTTCAATCAAAGATCTATGCCTCACATGTCTTCGTTAGGCTTGGCGTGCTTTTCTCTTTCCACATCGATTCTATTTATTACTGCACTCAAATGGTGGAACTGAGATTTTTCCATCTTCACTTCAGGCATGTCGCGGAATGCGCTACCTGCACGAAAAAGGATGTGTACATCGGGATCTCGCGGCCAGAAACTGCCTTCTGTCTGAGCAGGGATTTGTGAAGGTTTTTGAAAAGCCACCTTTTTTGAAGAGCGACAATCTCACGAAATTCAAGACTTCGAAACACTTCCAGATCTCCGATTTCGGTCTATCAAAAATAGCAGAGGAATTGGATAGTACAAAGAAGAAAGAAGAAGGCAGTGAGCCACCCATAGAGCATATCCCAATACGGTTTGTTTCATGAAACTTCTCGAATTCGGAATTTCAGATTGCCTAGTGCTGAGCACCCCTAATCCTGCTAATTCGAGCCACATTTCGGGATTGTTCCCCAACATTCTCCTTCCTATTTTCAGCGTTTGTTCCACATTATAGCGGTGTCCGCTTTCCTATTTTGTTGACTCCGATCCTGACCACTTTAACCGGTTCAGTGCTTGATCGGGATGGACGCCAACTAATTCCAGGTCCTCGTCCATCGTGTCAAGGCAGCTCTGCTTCAAGCGCCCTTTATGCCGTTTTCCGGGCACGTCAATATCCACGCGCGGTCTAAAGCACTGTCATCATTTGCGCGAAGAACGTGCCCATACCATCAAAGTCGAGCTTCGCCCATGTCAGTGATGGGAGCCACATCGAAGCGCTCTCTTATAGTATCGTTACGTATGTGGTCCCAGCACGTGATTCCGGCCGTCCAGCAGAGAATTTTCGTCTCAATTACAACGAGACCAGTTTCATCTTTATTCCTGGGCCAACAACAGCACCGTAAATGACAACTGGCCGAACTATGCTTCTGCAAATTATCGAAACGAAGAGTGCTGGTATCTTCTTGTCGCATAGACGCCTGTCATCGAGCGCCATTTAAAAATGCTGCACTCATACGTAGGTTGACTTTCAAGAGCCAACTGCGTTGAGCCAAGTGTCGATCAACGACATATTTGAGCGCTGTAGTGCGCACGAGCTCAGGGCCTTGATTTTACTAATAGAACCGCATTCGTTTGACGCGGTGGTCAAGTAGTCGATCTTTTTGACGTAGCCTGAGTCCAAACAACTCTAGGTATCGTATCAGCCCGCACTAGATGCTCGAGTAGATTTTTGACTTTGCAAGCATCGTCATCAGCGTACGGAAGCATCCATGAGGTGGCTCCTGAAGATCTCGTAATATGGCATCCATGACAAAGCGAGTACGATAGTTGGGAAGCACAGCAACCTTTGGTGTACCTGGCGGAGATGAGGAATTCCGTTGAATTGCCTGCAGCCGTTTGCACTGAACTCGTAAAGCTCGAGTATAATATATGCAACCACTGAGCTCCTCGGGGAACATTCTGTCGTAGAGCATACCATATAACTCCATGCGGTACCGATCGAAGGGACTTCCTCCAAGTCTAGGAAGACTACTTGCCACTTGCCTCTTCCCGCGGATGCTTTCGAGAAAGAGATGAGCTGCGTGTATGGCATAGATGGTGCCACAGCTGGACAAAATCCGCAGCTTGATAGAAAACTGCGCGATATATCGAGGGACGAAGATGTTGGCTGTCCTTATTTTAGTTATTATTTCCTTCTTTATGCCTTTATTCAATAACTACTTGAGGTGGATGGCTCCGGAAACATTGAGGCGGCCACAGTTATGGTCGGCTAAGAGCGACGTTTGGAGCTTCGGAGTGGTTCGTCTTCTACAACATCTTACTTTCGTCTTTCCAGATCTGGAATACTAGGATCTTCGGGATAAGAATTAATTAATTTAAAGAATTAAGAGTTAGTATAGAGCTCAGACTGTTGTTCTAAATCAATCCATTTTTTGTTTTGGCCTAAAATAGCCATGCTGTTGAACTATGACTATCCACGATACGTTTGGAACGCGTCCGACATATCAATATAGACGATTCTCCAGCAGTTGGTGATCCGATTTCGACGAGTTTCTTTGAAAAAATTGCCAGTTTTGATGAACGCCGCGCATGAAGGAGGACGCCGAAAATAGTTGAAACTAAAGAAATGCTATCAAACAAATCAGATCAAGACTGTTGGATGTGCTTCAACTTAAACTTTCGAGACTAGATTCGACGAGATAGAGTTCGGCCATCGAGTTTTGATGGAAATATCACATCATCGAAAAAATGACACATTTTCTCGGACAGTAAAGTAGGGGAACGTAAAGCAGGAGTTGGGAGTGTGTGGGTGATACATCACTGGAAGACTTCATTCGTAGAAACTGAGTTTGAGTCAATTACCGGTTTTTTAATGATTTCCGTCTTCTGGGGACCTCACTTTGCAAGCTTGTTGGTCGGTAATTCCTTAATAATCGTACAAGAGAATTTCGATTAGATTTTTGGCATTTTGTATTTGAATTGAATCCAAACGCACTTTCAATTTTTATAGTATATTTTCAAAATTTATAACAATACAATTATTTTGAAAATACAAACCAAAAAAAAACAAAAAATTCAAAGTTTGCATTCAAAATGCGTTGCATTCGAATGAGAGGCATTCTCTTTTAAACGATATACATATAAGATTGGGTGGAAAAATGGGGTCTTGGATGAAAAATTCTCATTCGGAAAAACCGGCACTACTTTCCTGACAATAAATTTAAAGAAACTTTTGTTGCAGCTTCTGTACGAAATGTTCAACAACGGGGAAAAGCCGTGGCCTGATGACGAACCGAAGAGGATTGCAACTCATATACGGTTCGTCGTTATCGTAATTTTTGCACTCTGTAGCGTTTAGGTAAGCTTACGCCTCTTTCCTTTTTTGAGCCACGAAATCGACTATCTAAATTACGAATTCCTAATCCTTTTCATGGAGAGTTTTTTTCATTCAGTGGATCATTTAGAAATAAAACTCTGAGAAATGTCGATACGAATTTTTTGGCTGATCACCTGGGGAAATAAGGTTACGAGAAAGAGGAGAGAG